ATCAATTCTATGTGAATAGATGAACATTCTGTGGAAGTTTTATTTAATTTTAGAGTTGTAGAAAATTGTACAAGTTCATCACAAGAAACACATGTTTTCATAAAAATCCTCGATGTTAAAGAAAAATGATTTTTTTTTTAAGAATTTCAAAAAGATAAAAGCAAAGATCTATTTTTAGAAATCGATAGAATGAAAGACACAATTTGACATTACATATAATTTTTTCAAGTATGTTTTACTCTTATGTTTTTCATGCTAAGAATAGGGACAAAGACTTTTATATCATTAAGTTACTCATAGGTTAGAATATACGTTGATATATTCAAATTATTAGAAAGTATACTTTGAATTTTTCATCTAGTATGTACGTTGAGATGTCCACGGTAGTTTCGTCGCGTATGTGTCTATCATAAGATATATCGACTGATGAATTGTTAATAATTTTACTATGATAAAAATCTCAATAGAAAATATGATTTATTTAGGAACCTTTACCAGAAACAAATGGTGAAGATGTGGAATATAAAATTGAAATTCCAGCCAATCGGTTTGTTTTTTTTTGTTTTTTCTCTTTTCATTATTTAAAATAATTTTAAATTTTAGTTATGATATTCTGTGTTTGGAAGGTTTGAGTCGAGCATTAAAAATCTTCTTACAAAAGTATGTTTATGTTTTATTTTTTGTTTATTAATCAAAATTTTTATTATTTCAGAGCTGAAATGCCAAAATTTCATATATCAAATCAAAAACTTATTCGAATGAAAATTTTATCAAATGTATGTTGATTTTCATATGTTTCTTCTTTTTTTTTTTAAATTTCTTCTATTAGACTCAACGTATTCGTCCGATTGTGGTCGGTGCAGTTCTTCGGAATATAACATTTAATGCCGACAGTTATAATAGTTTTATAAAATTACAAGATAAACTTCATTTAAATTTATGTCGAAATCGAACATTAGTTGCTATAGGAACACATGATCTGGATTCAATTAAACCACCATTTATATATGATGCTCGTGAACCAAAACAAATTAAATTTCGTTCATTAAATCAAAAAGATGAAATGCGTGCCGATGAAATGATGGAATTTTATCTTGTATAATTTTTATTTTGAAAAAAAAAAAAAGAAACATCGAAATTGAATTTTAATTTTAGAAAGATACACATCTTAAACGTTATGTTTCAATTATTCAAGATTCTGATGTTTATCCAGTTATTTATGATTCAAATAATGTTGTTTTATCACTTCCACCAATTATAAATGGTAATTAAAGCAATACAATAATCTCATAGTTTTCTTTTTTTTTTTCGTTTCGTTAGGGGAGCATAGTAAAATAAGTCTTAATACAAAAAATGTTTTTATTGAATGTACTGCAGTTGATTTACATAAAGCAAATGTAGTACTTAATATTATGGTAACAATGTTTGCTCAATATTGTAGTAAACCATTTGAGTATGAAAAATTATATTATGTTTTTATGATGAATACAAAAGAGTTCTTTTTTTTTAAATAATAGAATTGAATCAGTCGAAGTTGAACAAGTCGATGGAAAAGTAATTGTGTATCCGGTAAGACAATTTGTTTTTGTTTTCTAGTTATTGATTTATTTAATAAATTAATTATAGAATTTAAGCGATCGAGTTCAAGATATATCAGTGAAAAAGATTAACCAACGTATTGGCATACAGTATGAATAGAATTTAAAGAAGAATTTCGTATTTTTCAAATCTTTATTTTTGTAGAGTAAATGCTGAAAAAGCCGCAACACTTTTAAATCGAATGTGTCTTGGAACGAAAATTATTGATTCTGATACAATTCGTGTTAATATACCAGTAACTAGAGCAGATATTCTTCATTTTTGTGACATAGCTGAAGATTGTGCTGTAGCATATGGTTTTAATAATATTCGTAAAACAGTTCCGAAAACAAGTTGTATTGGAAATCAAGTAAGTAAAAAAAAAAAAAAAGATTGTTGTTTTTCGAAAAATTAGAAATCTTTACTTTTCTTTTTAGTTTGAACTTAATCGCGTATCTGATCTTCTTCGCCATTCTGTTGCCGAATCTGGTTTTATAGAAGCATTAACATTTACTTTATGTTCATGTCCTGATGTAGCAGAAAAATTTGGAAAAAATATTGAAAATATTCCTGCAGTACATATTGCAAATCCCAAAACACAAGATTTTCAAGTAAGATAAAAATTAATCAAGAATTAATTTTTATCAAAATAACAAAGACAAATAAAAGCTATTCATAGTTTTCTGCACCTGTTCAATTTTCGTAAGAAATCTTTTAGTAACAAAATAATTTCCTGTAGTGTCTAGAAACATTGACATTCACTGTTGTACTATACATATATGATCCAGAAGCAGAAGTATCAGACATGTATATTTTATTTAAGAGAAATTTGAAAATGAAAATTATCATTAACGACTACTCATCCTATAATATATCTTTAGTGAAAGATCGTATGTTCTCATTATTATATACGATAAGAATTTTCTAAAATTCATATCTAATTTACAGTTAAATTGGCAAAATTCATGAATGCCTGTTTTTGTTTAAAGGTGAACTTTGTTAGATATATTTCAATCAAAACTAATAATATATTTGGAATCAGCGCAGAAAACTAAGTCAACTGATATATATTTCAAAGTTTTTTGTCAAACGGTTTTCTTTTTCTTGAAAAAAATTAGCTGAAGTTCCTCTTAGAATTCAATCAAAAACTGAATGTAAGCAAAAGATTATCTTTATTGTTTACTTATATAGTCTTGTATCTTTTAATAAGGTTGCACAAGCTCGGAATATGTTGTCCATTGTGAAAAAGATGTTCTAATGAAATTGAGTTTTTAGCTGAACCTGAGCAAAACAACTTTAATGTCATTATCAAGCAATATTTTAATCATTCGAGTTGAATCTTTCTCCAAAAATACTCTATAGCATGAGCAGTCGTTTGATATAGTTTTTAGTGGGAAGAGTTTCTCAACATAGAAAAATTTAGGGATCTCATCATCCTATGTATAAATAAAGGTCAATTTTTTGCGTAGGAGTAGTGTTGTAAGCTGAAGGGTCGAACGACGGCGGCAGGCAAAAATTTTCGATTTTTGAGAATATCCAGCGGCTATCAATTCGATTTTGCAGGCTTTCAATGGTGCCGGCCCAATCGTACGGCTTACATCTCTACGTAGGAATGACTCTGGATTATTCAGAAATAGACTTATTTTGTTACCAAAAGATTCCTCGTGAAATTTTGCATCAGATAAATCATGATTGAAAGAAAATCAAAGATGAATCAAAATTTTCCGGAATCTGAGATCAAAAGAAAAACTTGATTTCGCACATCTCGAAGTCCTACGCTTTGATAATTATTAAATCGTAATGAGTATCTTTATGATGAAAGTTTCAAGTCAATAATGTTTAATTTAGATTGGTCGAACATCACTTTTACCAGGTTTATTAAAAACGATTGCAAATAATCAAGGTACTGCATTACCCATTCAATTATTCGAAGTATCTGACGTTATTCTCAAAGATTCAACACGAGGTTTACATTATTGAAGAAAAAAAAAAGTAACATAAACTAAAAATTCTATTTTTAGAAACTGGCTGCCGAAATGAACGACATTTATGTGCCGTTTTTTATAATAAAACACCAGGTTTTGAAATAATTCATGGTTTACTTGATCGAATTATGACATTAGTTAAAGTACCATATAATGAAAATAGAACAAATGATAAAGGTTATTATTTAAATAATCAATGTGAAGGTAAAAATATTTTTTGATAATATTTTCTTTTTGATTAAATAAATTTTTTCTTTAATATTTTCTAGATAGTGCATTTTTTCCTGGTCGTCATGCACAAGTCATTGTTCGTGGTGAAAATATTGGTGTTGTTGGTGTTCTTCATCCAAATGTTATAGAACACTTCAGTTTAAAACTTCCTTGCTCTGTTCTTGAGATAAACATTGAACCATTTATTTGAAAAAACAATCATCTTTATTCTAATTTATAATATAGATTTTATTGCAATAAAACAAGAAATAAAATCATGATGCTAAAAAGAAAGATCAATTGAATTATATCAATTTTTCTTTGAATATTATTATTTAATAAGCTCATGATAAATAAATATTAAAATGATTGAGTAAATACACTAATAGATAAAACCAATCAATTTTAATATATACTTTTATAAAATTGTTATATGTCATTTAAAAATATTCGCACAGAAATTGATGACGTCTTATTTTTTTAGAGAATAACTTCCATTATCATTTTGTCTACTTGAAACAAAATACAATTTATACATCATAGGTGTTGAAAATTGGAGATTTCGTTTGATGTAGAATACACTACGTTTAACTTTGAATTTAGAAAAACATGGGAGTTATAAGAATTTTTTATTTATTAAATGTTTGAATTCGTTTTCTAACGAATGAAGTCCAATCAACTGATAAATTGCTTTTCAATCGAGACTAGGCGCATTATGTAAGCACAAATGAGCTATGAATATATTCAAAAAATAGTTCTTGTTCTTAGCTTATTACTGCGGAGATATTGAACATCGATGGTATTTTTTAGAATGAATATTATGATCTAGAAAAACTAATTTTCGAATTTTGACTTGCAATTTTACATAGACAAAAGACATTAGCGGTAATAATGTCTTGTGTAAGTTTAAGAATCTTTTTCTTATTTCTATCTTAAGATACAGCTATGGTAAAAGCATGTCTTTTACATTGCTCATATACTCCGGCAGATTTAATAAAGATCTGAAACTTGAATTTCATGTAATTATATTCATTTGATATTTAGAATTCTTTTAAAATGCTAATAAATGTTTGAATTGACATGCATGAAAATATCAATGAATATAAGCTATAAAGAATATCAAACAAGATTTGTTTCTATTTAATAATTAATTTCGTTCGTAGTTGTTTGTTTTCTTTTTTTTTTTTGTTATTTATAAGTAAATGAGATATTAAACGCGCGTATTTCATGCCAAATTCTTATCATTATTTTGAATCAGGTGAAGTATCTCATGAACGATTATTATTAGAAATTGAATTATTAAAACAATTACAACAAGCTAATCTTCTTAATAATCTTGATTGGAAATTATATGATACATTTTCTTTAAAAATTTTTCATCAAATTGGTATATATGAAGTTAATGATGAACTTACTCAACGTTATAGAAATAATTCAAATGAATATGAACAATATAATTTTATTTCACAATGTATTCAAAAACATGAAATATCTTCAATAAATGAAAATTTTAAACAACAACAACAAACTTCTTTAATTATTATTCTTAATACAATATTTATTTTTATTTGTCTTTTATTTATTATTGGATTTTTTATATATGAATATATTAAATATGATCATAAATATTATTTATTAAAATTACTTAATCATCCATTAACAACTAAACGACGTCATCTTTCATTTACAGATGATTTATCAATTATTCTTTTAACATTTACTAGTAGTATTATCTTCGGTTGTATAATTATTGCAACAAGATTTAATCGAAAAATAATTCTATTTGGAATATTTGCATTATTAATTATCGTTCTATTACTTATAAAAAAAGGTCAACAAATAATCACAATTTTATTAACATACAGAGAATTACGTTGGTCTATGCTTTATGATTATATGTACTCATAGTAAAAACAATCTTTTTCATGTGCAGATTTCCTTAAGTGTCTTAGAAATTGTAAAAAGAAAAACAAAAAGTGTCTTGCTATTGATGATTGAAAAATGCTTCATTTGTATTGTTTTTAAAGCAACGAAAAGAAACTTCAGAACAAAGCTATTGAAAAAATGTCTAAGCAACAACATCGACAACCTCGTACAATAGAATATTGGGCTGGAAAAAAACTTCAAAGAAGTTCATCTGATCTTTTTCTTGATCGACCTCGACCAGGAAATACTCTTTTTACAGGTATATTAATTAATCAATTTTTTTTTAAAATTGGTTTTTATATATTCCAAAGGTCCGAATGCGCTATGGACTCAACGATATCCTATACGAGATATCACTGGAGATATTGGTGAAGGAGAAGCATCAAAACTTCGTTCGCTTGATCTTGGATATTTGACAAGGTATTCATATTAGATGAATTTATCATTTGAAAAAAAAATAATATTCTTCTTATCCATTTGAATTGAAGAGGATATGCGATGGCTCCACCACTTCGTCGTGCAGCATATCCTGGTGAAATTGGTTGGACAGCAACATATTTTCGTCAATCTTCAAAACCAACTAAATCATATATAACATGGAAAAATTAAATTTTTTGTCTTTTTTTTTTCTAAATAAAAAAATTTCTTCTGAATCATAGCGCCATCTTTTGTACATCAATATGCCATAGGAAGTTACGGAGTAAATAAACATAGATCAGTATTTGTTAATCAGTTGCTTATATGTGAATATAGATTTAGTTTTTGACATAGTTTTTTTTTTTGTCTCACAAAAAGAAAAGAAAAAGATGAGCAATCGGAATCGTAGCCGAGATGTTTCATCAGAAGATCTCAATAAACAGTCATCATTAGAATCTGGAATAATATTATCTTCTAAAAAAACTCCATTAATATTTAATAAAACAGCTGATGTTGATGATCCACCATTTAGTCGACTTTTTTTACTTATACCAAAAGCTATGTCAGAAGATGAATTACGTAAAGCATTTCTTGTTCATGGAACAATTCAAGATATTCATATGGTACGAGATAGACGAAGTCAAGAAAGCAAAGGTTTATATTAAAACAATAATTTTTACTAAATAAATTTGTTTGTTTTTATCAAATAGGAATTGCTTATATTAAATATGAAAAAGCATCAGCTGCCGCTCGTGCTATGGAAGAAATGAATGGAACTGTTATTCCACCACATACACGTCCGGTGAAAGTAAATTGTTTAATTTTCAATGAAAATCATTTGTAAAATATTTCATTCAGGCTATTATATCAAGTTCACGCCGTGAAGGTAGTGTACGTGATCCAGATGAACATGAAAAAATGTTACGTTTGTTTGTTGTTATATCAAAACATATGACTAAAGATGATTTACGTAAAGTATTTGAGGTAATGAAGTTTTTCTTTTCTTACAAATAGAAAAAAAAAATAAGAAATTTCTTTTTTATTATTATTAATATTCAGAAATATGGTTCAATTATTCATATTAAAGTTATTGTAGACAAATTAACAGGTGAAAATAAAGGATTTGCTTATATTTCATTTTCAAAAGCATCAGAAGCTGCTTATGCTTTGGAAGAATGTGATCCATGTAAGTGTTTTGCTTTTTTTTTCTCTCTAAGTCAATATAAGTTGTAATCAGTTATCGAAAAACATTCCGATCATATTTTGACTTATAAGGGTTTTTTTGTATAATAACAAGCTTTGTACTCTTGGAAGGAAATATGAAATTTTTCGATATATTCATATTCAGAAAAATGAACATCAAAGAAAACTAATTTATATAATAAACAATTGTTTATCTAGTTACGTTAATGCTGTGAAAGATTATATTGCAGATCTTATTTGATATGTATATATATATATCGATTGTAAGGTGTAGGAGAGTCGTATCATGCATTAAAGAAAATCGAGAATGAGAAACAAGAAGTCGCATATAATCCGTTCGAACCTTCTAGATAGATTACTACTTGAATATCATGTGGTCAGTGTTTTGTCTATTTGGAAAAAATTTCAATAATGGGATTTTCCCGAACATGAGAAATTTCACTAATACATGACATCAATTCTTGAGTAGAGATTTTCAGAACGAAGCATTTTTTGTTCTAGTCTAGAGACAACTATTTTTAAATTTATTTGTGCCACATTTAAAAAAGCTCTTCAATACTGATTTTGTTTTTTTTTCATAATTTAGCTAACGATTAGTCCTTTTTTGGATCATCTCTCATAAATTATGTTCTGATTGATATGATCTATAAGATAATTCAATTATAAAGCAATAGAATATTTAATTATAATCCTTAGTTTTGGTTGAAAGAAATTTTCTCTTGTGGTTTCACATGTTTCTATTCTTTGAAACTTTTACCTGATTGCATATACTCTTGGAAGCGCAAGCCTTGTAATTTATCTTTGTAAATATTTTTGTCTCTCATGATGCGTGTTCGATAATAACGCTACGAATTGTAAAAAAAAATAATTTTATCTTCCATTCTGTCGAAACTAGTTAGTTCGTTTTGATTTCTCTCAATGGCCTTGTTTTTATGGTTTTTCTTTTTGGATATCGTTCAAATACTGAATACTATTAAAATTAGATAGAGATCAGACATGAAAACTGAGTCATTGTTAACTAATCACTCGATTTACATTCTTACTATGATAATTCGTGACATTTCGTAGTTTCCTCCTAACTGATTACATGATCTCGGAATAATTCTTTATATGTTAATGTCTTTAACAATAAGTTCGTTTTTTTTAAATTATCTAATAGGTTACAAACCAAAATTTGCTGAACCATTTTCTTCAAAACGTCATCGTGATACTGAAGAAATTTTGTCTTCATCAGCATCATTATATGGAGCTGTTTCACCTCCTTATTGCCATAAAATACCAATAGGTAAACAACATCCATCACCATCATCAAATTCTACTGATCATCGACCATCTCCACCTCCTTTACTTCCACTTCCACCATCACGTTCCTTATCACATACTGAAACAAGTTTGTCTTCTACACTTTTTATTTAATTAATTAAATTTAAAATATTTTTCTTATATTTTTTTTGTATTTAGATCAATCAATAACATCATCAGCTTATCATTTACTTGATAATAATAATGAACGTCGTTTAATTATTCGTTGTGGTATAACAATAACAAATTATCATATATCAAAATTATTTGATCTTATACCAAATATGGAAGAATGTACACCACTAAATTTAAATACATTTAATGAACGTATGAAATTTGAAAGAATTCTTTAAAAGAATTTTTACAAAAGAAAAATTTTAATTTAGATTATTTTATTGTACGTTATAAATCTTGTCAATATGCAACATATGCACGTGAAAAACTGCATGCATTTCAATTTCCTGATGGTGAAATATTATCTGTTCAATATTATGATGAACAGTAAGACAAAAAAAAAACAAAATAACAAACAAGATACAATTTTTTTTTCGTATATTAAAATCTTTCTCTGATAGAATTGTTAATGATTTGATTAATCAATCACAAAATGGTAAATATGGTGATACACCAGGCATTGGACAATTAATACATCAAGTATAGAAAAATACTTTGTTTCTTATTAATAAAATAATTGATTTGTTTTTAAGATGAGTAATTTACAAGGTACTCAAGAACAATATGTTGATTATTGCAATATCCCATTACCACCTAAACAAAAATATGCTTCATTTGATGCACCCGTAAGTTTAACATGAAGTTATTTCAAATTTACCTTATTGATTATGAATTATATCAATAAACTGTGCAGAGAGATATTTACTTTTGATAAACAAACGGAACATAATCCAATGATTCGTTTGGTTTAATAAGAGATTGAAAGAAAATTGAAACAACGATTTAATACTTATTCAGATGTTCCCATCCGGAAGGGCGAACATCTTTTTTTTTTTTAGAAGCATACATTTCTAGTATGTAGTGAAATACTGGGAAAACATCATCCTCTCGCTAGATAAAACATTGCTTATTTGTTTGGGGTTTTTTGATTGACTCTATTATCTGTTTCAAAATAAAATAAGTTTGCATTCTTTAAAAGAGGCGGTGAAACTACATCGATTTAGCAATATCTCAGGGCCACCCGTCAAAGCTCTTAAAAACAAATATTGTGAAATGTAAAAGTTTTTGAATTTTAATTTTTAGTAGTGCGCCGAAATCATTAACTAAAGTTCAATAATCTATGCAAGTCTGATATTAAAAGGTTTAGCAAATTATGAGTTATTAACATTTTACTAAGCATTTTTCACGAAAACTTCATGCTCTAACCTTATTAAAAAGCTTTGATTTTTTAAAAACTTTGGCGAGTGACCTTGAAAAAATTTGATACAGCTAAATCGATGCAGTTTGATTGCCTCTTTTAAATGATGAAAACTGAAAATCTTCTCTCTAGGTCCTATCAAAAATACTTACTCTTCTTTTATTTTCTAGTATCATTTTTCCTACTTCAATTTTCTATCGACGGAAAAATCCTGTGCTATGTGAATTATAAGATAACGGCATTTATCTTCATTTAGACAGAAACGACACTTAACATACTTTTATATTTTATTATAATGCGGCTAATTGTTGAAGATAGTCAGTTTTTCATATTTATCGTATAAACTAATATCGACTTCAAATGTTACGAATACGAAAAATATGATAAGACTTATGTTGGATCTATGATTGATTCTGACCTTTTGTTTTATGAATAGAAATTATCATTCGTTTTTTTCTTTTCTTTTGGGGATACAGAATGAATAAAAGGAAATCAAATTTCTAATCCAAAAAAATTTCTTAAATTATTCTTGACATTTCAAGTTAATGATTTCCGCTGGAAAATAGTAAAAACTTCGAAGAAAAAAAATCTGATCATCCAATTTAATATCCTGAGTTTTCTGACCGAAATCGATCATACTTCATTCACTTGCAATCTAATCGATTAGAAATTTATTTAACTGTATTGTCTGATTAATAGTAATTGAATGAAGTCAATTCATATCATTAATCTATATTATTATCATTTATCAAAATTTTATTCGTACATAATATATTTATTTGATTTCGACGAAATTAGTATAATCAAACTGAAAAGATCGTTTTTTTGTGTACTCAAAAAGTGAGTACACTCTAGAATCGGTCAGTGTGTCCGGCCGGCCGTCCGTTAACACGATAACTTTTGAAAGGAGAGTCCAATCGCGATGAAATTTTCTACACAGTTCAGTCTTAACAATGTCTCGGTCGAGTTCGAAGATGAGCAGGATCCGTCAAGAAATGGCTGAGTTATCGAAAAAATTGTCATTATTGAGAAGATCATCCCTGAGGGGGAGTACAGGGATTTTTTCAAAAAAAATATTTTTCTCAAAATTCTTCACAACATANCACTATAACCCTAACATATCCTGAAAATTTCATGCGATTTGCATGTACCGGAGCCGAAATCGATTTTTGAGTGGGGGGGGGGGGCCTTAAAAGAGCATTCATGGGAGAACTTAGGCATTAATCAAAATTTAAATTATTTTTTTTCTTTTTTATGCATTCAAAAGACTATCATCTAAAGCTACCGAATCCAAATTTTTAGCTTATTTGGATTTTCTGTAGTAAAGTTAGTCAAGATTAACTTTTTAATATTACCAACCTATTACTCACAGAGTAATGATAAATCATCCTATAAATATCTACTAGGTTTATACTTCAACAAGTTAAAGAATTTTTTTGCATAAAAAATATCACAAAATTAGACCATGAAAATCTGAATAAAATAAGCTATTTCAGATGCTGTATATCATCTATATACTGTGGGTATATAGCCCTATATGACTGTGAAAGGTAATTATTTATGAATCCATAATAGTCGATGTTTGACAGTATATCTGATGTAATTTTTTTAAATACAAAAAATACTATGTTAAGTTTTTTGTATGTTATGTAACTTTTTATTTTCTACAAAATGGTACAAATATTTTAAAAGACAATTTTACCTTCAGAGTGAAACCGAATGCATATCTCTCTCCTAGCTAGTAATTTGTTATGCTTTCTCAATAGAAAAACGAAACATTTTCAGTGGTTTTCATTACTATGATACGATTGTAAGACAAAATAAATGTGACATTCAGAATCTGCATGAAAACTTACATTGAATGAAGTCAAGCCTAGTGAATTCTTTTGTTTTTCGTCAAAAACTAATCCCTAAGGAGTCACGAAACAAAATTTTGATAAAATAAAGCCAAGAAGAACTACAGGTAATTTTTGACAGAAAAAAATTCTCTAGAATGTATTTGATTCAATGTAGTGATTCCGAACGTCACATTTATTTGGCTTCATAATCGTGTCATGGTAATGAAAATCGCTAAAACTATTCTTTTTTTTCTATAGAAGAATAATAAAAAATCACTATGTGTAGGAGAGAGGTGTAAAGTTACATAACGTGAAAATTCAGCAAAGTATTTTTTTATTTAAGCAAATGACATCAGAGTTACTGTCGAAAATCGACCAATATGGACTCGTGAATAGTCACCCTTCTCACTCATATTGGACTACTAAACTCCAGTACGCATATGATAGTTATATTATGATTTAAATAGCTCATTTTTGTTAGCTTTTTATGCTCCGTCTTTTGGTATTTTTCATGAAAAAATTTTTTGTTGAAGTATAATCCTAGTAGATATTTATGGGATGATTTATAATTACTTTGTGGGTAGTAGGTTGACAGTGTTAAAAAGCGAATATTAGCTAACTTTACTACAGAACATTGAAATAAGCTAAAAATTTGAATTTACCAATTTTAGATGATGGTCTTTCGAATGTACAAAAAGAAAATAAAAAGTTTAAATTTTCATTAGTGTTGCTATCTCTTATTTCACATAGGTATCGTCTCTTAAAGAAGCCGGCAGAAGTTTGAAAATATTAGATTAGAATCAAAATTTTGTATTGTTTCCGGATATAGATTCATCATTTCTCTAAGACGTATAAGTGCTTAAATTATTTTGGAATTTTCTAGAATCTTCCAAACTCTCCTATGAATCTAAGATTTTTAATGTAGACTCTAAATAGTCCACATATTACAGATTTCGGTATTTAATGCAGCGAAAAGATCTTACTGCCGCCGGGTATAGAAAAATATAAGGAAGCTCAATGAACAATTAAATCAATGTATAAAACAAGCTAATCTAATGGTTGAATCGACGCGACGAAGGATAAAATGATATTTACCTCTACCTATTTCATAAATCAAATATATTATTGCGAGGAAAAAAGAAATTATGTATTGAAGATATGTCTGACAATACAACTAAGTTTTTTCGGGTATAACGATGTTAAACAAAACTAATAAATTGTTCTAAATGCAAACATTTTCGAAATGATATAATGATATTTTTTGAAATAAATTATTTTAATCTCTTTGACAATATACTGTAAATTTATCATAATTTTGTACTTTCATTCGCTTTATTTGAAACAATTTTGGATGAACCAAAATTCGCCTAAACATAATTTATACATCTGTAAAAGATCGGCTCATGACTCCCATAAATAAGAAGCCCTACAAAATTTTTGTTCTACAGGCTTCTTTACGGGACTGAAAAGTGAATGTATATATTTTGTCTAATTACTTTGCGATCACTTGCTATAATTGTTTTTTTTTTTCAGTAAAAGGCGGAGAGCGCATAAGATCCTAAAGTTACTCAATACTTCGATTATTGAAATTTTGTATATGACTCGATGAAAAATTTTACGCTGAGTTCTTTGTTAGACATTCCAGATTGGTATCATTCGATAGAGCATTTAATTTTGCACTAATTACTATAAGAAAAAGAATCTAGCAAAACAACTTCTCAGTGTCTTTTATTCATTACCGATCAGTAGTATTTTAGTTGAAAATTCAGTACTCCTCCTTGATTCACTAGACATGATTCTGTGTCATTTTGACGTGTATTTAGCAGGTTTTTAGTCAAAAGTTACTATTAGAGTCAAAACTAATAACAAGTTTGAAAGCAACCTAAAAGAACCAAGTCGGCTGATGTTTATTTCAAATGTTTTCACGAACTTTTGTTTTCGTTCGAAAATTTCAGTCAAGGGTCTCCCTTAAGGTACAATCAAAAACTAAAAGCTGTTAAAATATTGTTTAGACAAAGATTCAATTCTATTGCTGGTTGAACTCAGAAGAGAAAGGACCCTGGTTGAAATTTTCGATGAAAAAAAAGTTGTTCATAAAACATTCGAAATAAATATCAGTCGGCTTAATTATTGATGCTGGTTTGAAACTTTCTATTAGTTAATGTACTTGGAATTTTTCAAGTGTCCAGCATCTATTGAGTTTAAAAAGTATTTTCTAGAATTATCAAATCATGCATAAATTTTAATAGGTTATGTAATGTGTAGATTGGTGATTTTACATGATGTCGGTCTTTGTTTTTTATAGCCTTTACCACTTAGTCTTCTTAATAATGATCGTTCAAATCTTGCAAAGAATGAATGGAATCTTCTTTCAAATGTAATTCATGCTTATGATGAAGCAAATATAATTCCACAAATAAAATATTATCTTGAACAACAATCATCATTACCACCAAAACTACGATCAAAAGCATCAAAATCAATTGATATTTTTAAAGTTTTGTTCTCAACACTTCAACTATTTATTGAACGTTCGCCGTATTTTCATGATCTATCAATTGATACACGTCAAATACTTATACAAAATAATTATGAAACAGCTGGTACATTGAATTCCATTTTCGTTATACGTGAAATAAAAGCATTAGATAATATGACATTTCAAGCAAGTTGTATTACAATTTACGGAGACAAAATTACGACACATTCTGATCATTTAACAAACCGATTAGAACCAAATGGAATATTTGTTAAAATAATGATTTTAATTTTGGCATTTTCAACTAATTGTTCAATTGTCACTCCTTATTATTCAGGAACTATAATAAATTTAGCTAGTGCACTATCTATATTTAAGATACAAAATGTACTTGTCACAATGTTTTGGAAATATTTAAATTATCAATATGGTTTTATAGGAGCTGTACGATGTTTTAATTGTTTAATAAAATATATTCTTGATATTCTTCATAGTGCAAATGAAATGAGAAATATACAACATGAAAAAATGATAGATGGACTTGTTGAAGAAACAAAACGTTTATTGTCGCGTGAAAATTGAAATATAAAATAATGAACTCATTATTTAATGTTCAATATTATAATAGCTATTGAAAATATAGTTCATGTTCATTTTTATTAATTAATTTATGTATATCGATCTGTCTTTTACATTGAAATTATTCATATTTGTATAATCCTGCATATTCATTACTGAAAAAAAAATTTTTTTTTGTTTTTAAATAAAATATGTTCAACATCAAGTTTGATATGAGTTCAGAAAAAAAAAATTCATTGATATTGGTGGGTGTGAGCTTTCTTTTCACGTACCGACACGTATTCTAGTTGTATTACGAAAAAAAAACACATGTATATCGATCTTCATTTAATCGTTTTAAACAATCACTAATTTGTCCAATCGAATTAGTTTATCAGATAGTATATTATTTTTTTTTTTAGTTAAATCGAAATATAAAGTTTTTAGATATAGAAAACTGATCTCTTTTCATAGACAGCAGATGTATCATTCATAAGATGATCGTTTCTATTGACTTCACAGCTGTAGAAAAAAAACTAATAGTAATTAGTAAACGATGTTTTGAAGAGACTTAAATTAATTGAAGTATTCTTATCTCGTCTTCATATCGCATAGAACGATATGTAAAATAAGTCAACCATAAATTTTATTATATTGATTAACAAAATTTCAGTAATTGGAATGTACACATGTATAATATTCAATTTATTCGTATTAACTTTCTTACGATTAGTTGAACAAGTCTAATAAAATAACTTTATATTCTCAAGTACTTATATCAAATTTAATGAAAATACTTAAAACTAATTTTATATTAATAATTTCTTTATTAATTAACTATAAGTTTTCGTTCAAATATAAATCTTTCTATCCAATCATATTTTTTATGAATACATCTTATACTTTTTCATCATTCATAAACATAATTAACAAGAAAATAATAAACCAATGAAAATTTTTTACAACGATCAATAACTATATAACCATCATTTCTGTATAACTCTTTTCGTTCGTCATGTTCTACTCGTCTTCATCATCAATCAGTTATTGCTTGCAAGACACGATGATTAAATTACATTTTTCTCGACCAACAAGAATGCTGTATTTTTTTCTCTTCTTTTAGTAGTTCATTCATGAGTAAGTACGTGCATGCATTTATGTTGATATAGAATAAAAAAGAATAGCCATCTAACAACATTGTGTGCTATATACACAAATATATCTATCATTCAATTACAAAGCATACAGTTCTGTCTGTGTTTTTTTCCTGGTGTAATTGATGTTATTTCGCAGAAATCGAAAATAAGTTAAAATAATATATTTGATAAAGTAAGAATAAAAAAATTTTATAATGCATTCAGTTTTAGAATGAAGTACTTTAAAAAATATTTATTTTTCATAAAATTGATTATTTGATAGAAATTTTTCTGTGAATATCATTAAATCGAGAGCATTAGGTTAAAATTCGATATTTGATTGATTCTTTCGAAATATTGTTCTCATTTGAAAATGTATTAAATGTTGTCAATAGATAAATGCGGTAGATTAAGAGACTTTCCTTCTTTCTCGATGTTAAAATCAAAATTTTTATTTTTCGTTTGTTTCATTGTTAATATAGTTATCATATAAATAAGAATTCTTCATTGTTAGTTAGTCATTTTATTAAAGACAACTTTCGAAATCTCTAGAAGAAAAGCTCACACTACGATTATTCTGTTGTATACAGAATTTTCCTAATGATTATTTCTAAAGGTACTGAGAGTATGTGAAGAAAAATTTTGGTCTTTGCGATCTCTATGTTTTTTCTAAAGGAAGCATCTGGAAATTTTTTTGATGAATGATGATTATTATTTCTTTTTGTTCATATTGTCGGTGATCATTAATTATTCGTTAGTAATCATTCATAACATCATGTACTATTCTGGTAGTAGAAATTTTTTGTTCTGTCTCTGTTGTATTACTTCTTTATGTTCTGTTCTCTTCGTCTTGATCGAGACAAAGAAGACATGTCCGCTATTTTCTTTTGGACATTCTCACATAAAAGAAAGAAAGAAAATGTTGAACACTTATGCACACTGGTCAATATTTGATTGTCTTTTTTTGTTGTTGTTGGGTGCACTTATGAGAACAAGTTATATTGAAAAGGAAGAAGAAATCTTCAATTTCATAGGGTTTTTTTTTCTTTTCCGAACATATATACGAACCGTTACTTAATTAATATGTGAAATTTTCATCTTTTGTTTTACTATATAATCATAGTAATTCATTGATGAGCACGTTCATATTTTCTCTCACTGACCTTTTACTCTGTGTGTATTTCAATTAGTGTTCGTTATTTTTTTTCGACAAGCCATATGTGATATATCATGATAATGATTATATCTCAACGAAAATATTGTAATGATGGATGAGTATATTCTCATTTTGTTTTTCAGATGGATAAAATCATTATCGAATCTTCTTTTGTTAATTCTCTATTCAAATGTTCACTCTGTAATGAACTTATACATTTAGCTACAGTTATTAATGAATGTTTTCATCGTTGTAAGTTTATTTTATTATAGATGAATAATAAAATATTCATATATGGCTTTGATTTTTCTTAGTTTGCAAATTATGTATAATGAATTATTTCGAAAAAGATAATAATACTTGTCCAACATGTAAGATAACAATTGTTAATCCATTTCAAACACTTAAGTAAGTCTATATGATTTATACGTATATGAAAGATTTTTGAATTTTTTTTTAGATTTGATCTTATATTTCAACGATTATTATATAAAATCTTTCCAAGTATAATTCAACATAAGACAAGGCTTTTTTCTTTCCTAGTGAATGTACTGAGTTTAAGATACTCGACTGAGAGTTATCTTAGTGTATGGATACTTGCTTAATTTCTTTTGCATTTTACTACCAAAAAGTTCTTGTAACATATTGGCAGCAGAGTATCATGAGCTGATGAGAAAAGTTTCTCAACTGGTTTATCGCTTTGAAGTTCAAACTATGTGCATTATGTAGATCTTAATGAGATGTTCCATTCTCAATGAGGAGAGTATCTATGGAAAGTTTCAAGACAAAATTTGAAAATGAATTTTTCTTGTGGGTCTGATAAGGCCTATGACATTTACTAAAAACAAATACACTATATCAACAACAATAATCTAAGGTTTGACTTCTTTTTTAAAAGTAGAGCATCCGTCCTTCAAATGAATAAAAAAAAAATAATCAGTCATTCCAAACAGTGTTTAGTATATAAGTTAGTTTGAGAAAAACTTGAAACGATGTACAGTTTTGATTAATTTGATTTTTTTTTCTAACGTTTAAAGACAATATTTGGAGTTTAAAATGTACTCAATAGCTAATCAGATGGAAGACTTCTCACATTAGTACATTCACTCGGATTATCTTTTCAAATTCATCTACTTTTCATTAAATACAATATAATTATCCAGTCATTCTGTATTATATATTTAGGTGAAATCGCGTGTAAATCATCTCTATCGACAACTAATGGTAAGAGTCAACTAAATGCCTAAGGGAAGATATATATATATTTTGTTTATTGTCTATTATAGAATCAACATATATTCAGATCGAAACAAAGATAAATGTTTATTTAGAATATTGGGATATGTAAGTTTTTAATAGTTGATTAACATGCTAGAATTAAATTAGACTCTAATTTAAAAGCAACGCATGTATTTCCGTTGGCTATGTTGATAGTTAATGAATTTCCTTTTCGATATCTAACGAACATATGAATAGCCGTTGGCTAATTTTTGATTCGCTAATTTCTTCTTCGGTTTTTTTTTTGTTTAGTTCATTGGATCTATTTCCGAATGAATCACGAACAATATTATCAAAGTGTTATTTAGAATGTCTAGCTAGTACACCATTATTAACAATTGAAAAATTTCTTCGAATTAAACATTCATTACCATTAACAATGAAAGTAATATTTGAGTTTTTTTGTTCATTTAAATAAATATTCTTTTTTTTTTTTTTGTCTTTTAATTTAGATCGATCTTTTTTATAAATCATTTTTATTAAATACTAATAATGAACGATTAATCGATATATCTTATTGTTTTGATATAATAAATAAGGTAAGAATTATTATTATTATTTTTTTTTTTATAAAAATATTTATTCCTTAGAATTCATTACTCGATATTCGATTTACTATTAGTCGATATGGTTATAGATCAATACTTAAACATATTCGTCAATCTAAACAAGCAGTTCCATTACAAATTGAAAATTTATCATCAACAAGTTCAATTGATTCAACACTTAAAGTAAAATTATGTCGATCACAAAGTTCAACAAATGATTGGTATATATCACAAGCAACATCATCTATTGAATTACCTGATCTAATTAATTCATGTGAAAATCGAACAAAACATAAAAGAATATTATTAAAAAAGAAATCAATATTAAATAAACCTCGTCGACGTATACGTTTTATTCCAACTATGGTTAAAGTTCCACCATCAATATTTGATTGTCTATCAACTAAACAATATGATTTTAATATATTTCAAACAAATGAAAATAATCTAATAGATAATACATCAGAAACTAAACAAATATTATCAAATCAAAAAACAATTTGTAAAGTTCCACCTTATATTCCTGAAAATCCTTCATTCTATGATAATAATCCAATTGATTTAAGTTTAAAATGAACAAGTATTGTTATAGATTCTATATCTAAACAGTGATTAATCGAGAGTGTATAATGAATTTTTCTTTTTGTGTATCTCTTGTATACATATATATATATATAAATGAGTTGAAAGAAGACAGCCGTGATATTTATTCAATGATATTACTTATATACACGTGTGTGCGGTATGATGATGAACACAAAGGTATGAAGAAGAAAAAAAAAGAAACAAAAGATCGAATATCCGATCTTCTACAAACATAATTATTTGCTTGATACTATAAATAAGATTTTTTGATGAAAATCAATAACAATCAAGTGATGATTCGTATTCGATTATAATCATTTGATATAAAGAATATAAGAGACATACGTACATGAAAGAAAATTGTTTCTTTTTTTGTCAGCTAATCTATTATCATCATAGACATTTGTCCGAAAAAAGAAGACAAAATTATTTCTGCTCACTTTAACTTTATCAATTTATTCAAAATGCAAATAAGTTAGAAAATTGTTCGAGATTTGTTTTTCTGCCTTATTGACGATTAATATCTTGTCCTATTTTTACGAATAAAGATCATAAAAGAAGAAATAATATTATAAAAAATATCTGATATAAATATGTTTATTATCAATCGAATCATAGTTTGATATTGTGTTGATAGAAACAATAAGAACAATGTATGTATGTACGATGAATAACCACATATGGAAAGAATATAGAAAATGAAGGCAACAAATAAAAACATTCTTTAACAGCTAGCTTTCTTTGAAACCACATACAGATGTAAATCAATATAAAGTTTTATTTCTAATTTTTTAGCGAAAGAATATTGCTCTTTAATCAAACTATTTAATGGAAGAAATATCTTTTTTTGTGATTCAGTGAATTTAGACTAGATGAAGTTTTCTTCTTTTTTTTTGTGTGTAATATGTGTTCAAGTAATAAAATAGATCGATCGAATTTCTGTATGAAACAAAACAAATATTATCTTAATGAGAAGATATTAGACAAGATAGCATGTTATTTAGATTTTCTTTTTTGTTTATGATAAACCTTTTCACGGAATAGACTGTCAATTAATATTGATAAAAATAAGATGCTCTCGTAATAGCACCCTACTGAGTCAAACTTCAACTGTGTCAGTATTTTTCTATTTATTTGTGAAAGACTCAAAACATCAAGCAATGACTATTTTTCTAGAAAAATTTTAATAATTTGAATGAGTTCTCTCTTATGAGAGAGTGATTCCATTAGAGAGGGTGTGGGTGTGAGTGTCTTGTAATTAATACACATACGGGAGCACACCCACACCCATATCCTATGTGCTAAGGCCAAGAAAAATTGCAACCTAGATAGTGATATGCAATTGAAACTATCTACTCATCTGTTTTATCTGAAAAAAAAAAGTAGAATAAAGAAGAGAAAAAATTGAAACTATGATTCTTATCAAGATTTCGATGTATCTAACATAAATAATTTTTAAGCTGCAAAACTTTTCATGTTATTGAATCAGCTCAAATAGTTCTATGTACAGACTTTAACAGTGAGAATTGGAACGAAAACATTGGGAATAAGAATAATGTCAAATGACGATCTCCTGCTTTCAAAAGATGCACTAAGAATTATGTCACTTGATTCAGTATCATGATTTTGTAGTCTAAATGAACTCTGCCCTTTGATTTGCTGTTCAGAAAAAAAAACTGTCAAACTGTTCCTTAGATATGGATAAAGCACTGAACGTTTTTTTCTTTGAAACATGAAACGATCTAATATTTTGGGATCTGAGTATAGTCGACTGAACCTTATGTTCCAAATGTAAAAACAACAAAGCGAAATTTTTTATCCAATCGAAGACGTCAACTGTAACTGTAAATAGTTGTGTAAAAGAGAATCTAAGGTATGCAATTTCATATTGTCTATTGAACTGTGCATGATACGTACGTTAAAATCTTGATAATGATGAGTAGATATATCATATTGCATGGCAACATGTAAGTTGTAGGAATGAGCTCTCTTTTCATATGCATTCGTACGTATAAATTAAATTATACGACTAATGATTCAATGCTTAATGTACACGAACACTCGATCTGAATCTGAACAATCGTTACATGAATCATTTTCTCAAATTCTTTGACACACGTAGTACTAATAAAGCGAAGATTGGATTGATTTAGGCACTAAGCCGAAAAGTATTGAATATATTTCATGATAGATTATTTGCGGTGGACGCATAGTCTCTATTACCACAGCACATCATATTTATTTTGTGGTTAGTAACAGAATAAATGAACATATGAAATTATTTCTTAGCTTCAAAATCTCAAGAGCCACACTTTTTTTAATATCAATCAAATATATCCTTCAGGTTGAGGTTATAAACAAAACAGCATGGAAAGTGAAAATGTAGGTTATCAATAAAGAAAACAGCGACATTGTAGGTTATCATCCATCACATGCTCTTTTTTTTTTCTTCTCTTTCTTTTGTCTCTTATCGATCATGAAACTATTCATTGCAGAACCCTCGGGTGAAATTGTTACTGGATAAAGGTAAAAACAAATTTGATGACATTTTGTGTGCTTCAAATAAATCATCAGGACTCATTATTATGTGATTGTTTCACGTCATTTTCCTCATTTTTTTCAGTCATTTTAATAGGTGCTCTATTTCATCAGTTACTAAAGTAATTTGTTTAAGTGCTTGTAGATGCTTATTTTTTCATGTCACATCGTTTTCTCTCTCTTTAATATATTTTAAGATCATTTTTTTGGAATGATTCCGCTAACGAAATTCTTACTTTTTCTTGCTCGTCTACACAATCGCAATTTAAAAAAATGAATAGCTTTATTATAGATTCAAGAATAAAAATAATAAATATCTCGTAAAAACAAACAAACATTGTATACTGCTTCATCATATTGTTGAATATTCAGATCGATTAGAAATCTCTAAACTCATCATTTCCAAATATAGAAATAGGTTGTTTTAGTAACGTGGAAATCGTAAAAGCAAAACAAAGAATGCTTTTTAAATTACTCTAGATTGTTTCACATTCTTTGATGTTGTTGTGAAACGTTTTGTAAAGATGATTCTCTAGACGATATACAATCGTTTATGAATAATAGACAATTGTTTTATGAGAAAAAAAATCGCATATTCAACTACTATACAAATATACTCTATATCATTATTATGTATATACATGAGTAACAAAAGTGTTTTTCGCACCTGATGACACATACATGTATGTATCAGAGCCATGATCAGTGTGCGCAGTTAATATAATCATTTCTCTTAGCTGAAAAACGCGTAGCCAATAATCAAAACGTAACTTGATCACATTGGGTTGCCTTTTTTTTTATCTACGCAGATGAATCAATCACACATACATATATCACATGCGCAAGTGTCCCATTTGTTTTGTTGCTCTCTAGTGCTTATGTGTATTAAGAAAAAAAAAACAGAATGATATATATATATACTTAAGGCATACCAAAAGTAGTGACAGTGATACTTTAATACCGTATAGTAAGGTTTAACGAACTTTCTTTCTATATATTGTGATAGAGAAAAGAATGCTCTATATTCTATGCTATTTGATCATAATTTAATTAATATCATAATAATAAACTTTCGATAAGATTTGTATCGCTATGATATGTTGTGCCTGATAGTACTAATGCGTATTTAGTCGATATCTTTTGAATAACTTTTGATAGAAATAAGATAGAGGGCTGCAATTTTCATTGCTTGAAAGAAGAGACTTTATCAGGTTTAGAATTAATCATTCAGAAGGAATAGACATCGTAGTCAAAGTTTTAAGTAATTTTTCTGGCGATTTAAAAAAAAAACATTTTTGTTGTTTCCTTTTTGACAAGAAGCCATTCGCTCACGCTTAGAAGACTGATTAAACAAATATAAAACCGTATACTAGGAAAACGTATAATATATAATTCGATAAATTTTTATTTAAAGCTTTCTATACGGTATTTATGTGTCACTCCCACTACTTTTGGTGTAAGCCCTAAGTATATATATTGGGGGGTATCCAGTCTGGCCGGAGGACCCATTAATATATTTTTTATTGTAAGGATAAAATATACTGTTGTTCGGGCCAATCNACTACATTCATGGTGGTCATCTAAAAATATCCGTATAAACAGACAAATAAGCTGAAGGAGTAGCTCTTCATAAGAGATATGTTGATTTTTATAACAAAACGAATATTACTTTAAATTTGCTCTATCAGTGGAGTCAAAAGTAATTAGACATTTTTCATAAGTTTTACTTTTATATTAATACTTTGTCTTTTACACAGGGCTGCCAAATCCAAATTTCAAAAACCAGGAGTTTTTTTGCGAAAAATCGGAAGTTTACCAGGAGGTTTTTACTGAAAAATCAGGAGAAAAATCAGAAGATGTTTATTGAAATCAGGAAATGAATTAGTGGTCTTCTGTCTAAGAAAACTGAAGTTTTCGTTCGTCTAATCACTCGTTATGTTCTTCTACTAAGTTACTGATGACAAAATTTTCTCTAAGTGATATATATTTTTAAAAAAGCATAATTATGTGGAATTTATTTTACTGATTTCACAGTGGTTTATCAAAATATACCGACAAAATAGAAAATGAAATTTAATTCGACATTAATATGTAACTAAACAAAATGGGCACACATGAATGTAGTAACTGAATATCAGCACAATCTTCATTCCAATGAAATTCCTGAAAATAAAGAAGATATTCAAGTAGTTTGGCTCGATGAGAACATCTATAATTCAAGGAGTTCTGAATTTATTAAATCCACACTTTTGAGCATAAATCCCGTGGCTCAATTTTATTCTAATCTCAATCGTTGTTTTGATTTCATTAAAACAATAAAAGATGAAAAAATTTTTTTCATTGTTTCGGACACCTTTGCTCCTCGTATTATTCCTCGTATTCATTCTTTTCATACATTGGTAGCGATATTTATATTTTCTAGCAATCCAACAAATCTAAAATTGTTAATGAACAAATATGAGAAGATTATAGAAGTTATCACAGATCAAAAGAATTTGTTTGACTCGATTCGAAAGACAATGCATCTTATTGAAAAATTAGTATTGGCATTTAGTCTTCTTGATCATAAGCAAAAAGTAACAAAAGATTTGTCAAAGGAATCGGCATCATTTTTTTGGCATCAAATGTTAATTGATGTGCTAAAACAAATGCCTTCGAATGAAGAATCCAAAGAAGAAATGCTTAATATTTGTCGTAATTATTATCGAAATAATCAATATGAATTAAATAACATTGAAGAATTTCGTAGAAACTATACACGTGATAAAGCCATTGAATGGTATACTGCTGAATGTTTTTTGTATAGATTATTGAATAAAGCACTGCGTACAGAAAATATCGAGTTGCTCTATAATTTTCGATTCTTTCTTATTGGTTTATGCGCGGCACTGAAAGAACAAAGAGACAATTTAAAAGACAAAGATATTTTTACTGTATACCGAGGCACAACTATTCCTCTGGAAGAAATAGAAAAATTAAAGGAAAACGTTGGTAAAATCATTTCTACAAACGGATTTTTGTCCACTTCACGTAATATTGATGTTTCACGTCAATTCTTACAAAATACACTTAATTCAAATACACATGGACCCGTTCTATTCAAAATTAATGTTGATCCTTCATTGAAAATGGTTATTTTTGCTGACGTTGAAAATAAAACTCAAATCCAAGGAGAACAAGAAGTTCTTTTTAATCTCAATTCTGTTTTCAAAATAAAGTCTCTAGATTATAATTCAGCATATCTCTGCTGGATGATTGAATTAAAAAGTACGGATGAATGCTCGGACATGATTCAACAGTATCTTACCTTCTCAAAGCAACAACTCGACGAATATTCGCCTATCATTAAATTTGGTCGCCTTCTTCTTAATGAAATGGGCCAAGTGAATCAAGCTGGAAAGTATTTCAATATGCTACTCAAATCATTACCATCTGATCATTCAGATATTGCATCTGTTCACAACGCTATTGGAAATGTGTATGAGCGAAAAGGTGAATTCAATTTAGCATTAAAGAATTATGAACTAGCCCATCAAATTCGTCAAGAAAAAGTATCTCCCGACCATCCTCATATTGCTATTTCCCTTAAAAATATGGGCAATATTTATAGCAGAAGAGGAAATTTTAATCAAGCTCTTCATTGCTATCAAAAAGCATTAGACATTGAGGAAAAGTTTTATCCAAGTGATCATTTACAAAAAGGAATGACAATTTTAAATATCGGTTTGACATATGCGTCTACATACGATCTAGACACTGCTCTCGTTCATTTACATCATGCCCTTGAAATATATAAACGTGTTTTACCCTTACAACATCTTAACATTGCCCAATGTCTTGGTAATATAGGCTATGTTCATAAGATAAAGTATGATTTTCGTACTACACTCGATTATTATCGTCAACAATTGGAAATGGAAGAAAAGTGTTTACCATCTAATCATCCTGATCTATCAAAGCATCTTAGTTGGATTGTTGAACTTTATAATAAAATGGGCAAGATTGACAAAGCTATGGAATTCTGCAAAGAAAAACTTGATAGGCAAAAAAATATTTTGGGTGAAACTCATCCTCAAATTGCTCGAATACTAATGATTCTGGCTGAAGTATCGAAAAATATTGATCCAAACCAATCTGTCGAATATTACAATCAATCTTTGTCCATTCTTGAGCGTTTAACACCATCGGATCATCAAGCAACAGCTGAATGTTTGACATCTATGGCTTGCTTCTATGGAACTCTGAACATGTTTGATCACGCATTACAATGTCAACTCAAGGCAAATGATTTACTTCGCCAAGTTCACTCGTCGGATCACGTCTACTTAGCACACAGTTTAAGAAACATTGCAATTAGTTATGAAAAAATGAACAATAAGGAGGAGGCACTCCACTGTCTTCAAGAAAGTTTGTCGATCTACCAATTTAATTATGGACCAGAAGATCAAAATGTTAAGAGAACTGAAGCAGATATTGCTCGATTAAATGAAAAACAGAATCTTGCAAGCATTAATGAACCTGTGGAAATTCATGTCACTGAGGATCAACATCCTTCTTGTTAAGAAACACCATTTTCCGTTCATTTAACACCACCACAAAACTCGATTGTGGACACATTAAAAACAAATCATTGAAAATTGATAAAAGTAAAACATGTGTATCAGAGTAATATTGATTCCATCGAGCATCTCATTAGGGGTATTTGTAAAATACGCTCTAACCCACTCCAACCGCCGTTTAATTCGAAGTTAATATCAATCGATAGAGCTTAGAATTCTTCATTTAGGAGACCCACTCTAAGCCATTTTCTTTAAACAATATTTGATAAAAGAATCAAATACCATTTTTATGGGTCCACTCCAACCCACTCTAGGCCACTCCAATCCACTCTAAGCCCACTTCAACCCACTCCAAGCCACTCCGATCCACTCTAAGCCAATTTTTCTCGAGAAAATGAATAATTCATAATAATAAACAACTCTGTGATTTATTTCAGACCTATCTACCTTGACCTCACTTTTGCCATTGTAAAAGGTCAAAGATCAAAGATCAAAGGTCAAGGGTCACACCTCATAGTAAAATTTAGCATTCAATTTATATGTCCAACATCAGGTTTTTCAAACAAACGCTCTTTGCCTTTTTTGTAGACTGCCGAACCTACACACTGTTGCTTCAAAAACCTGATATTGGACATATAAATTGAACGCTAAATTTTACTATGAGGTGTGACCTTTGACCCTTGACCTTTGATCTTTGACCTTTTACAATGGCAAAAGCAGAGTTGCCACCTTTTCTGCTTTTAGCAGAAAAATTCTGCTTTTTGAAGATTTTTCTGCTTTTTTTCTGTCCTTTCTGCTTTTTCGGTTTTTTTCGGTTTTTTTCTGCTTTTTTAACATTGTGCTTTTCATATCTTCAACCAATGTTCTTAGATTTGAAAAACCATTTTCAAAAGTATAAAGATAAATTCTTATCAATACTTGTTGGTACCTTTGTTTTACTCTAATTCTTTTATTAAAAAAGTTATTATTTTCCACCGGCTGTGAAAGACTACCAATGTATATTTTTCATTTCCATTTCGTTTTTTTACCTGCATTTTCATTTCCACCATATATTCTGTTTTCTGTTACATAGTGCCTTCTTTTCTTTTCTGTTCAGCTATTCTATATATGTTCCTGTTCTGTTCTTTTCTTTTTTCTTTCCAGCTGTTTCCATATATTCTTGCTCGTCTGACCGACTTTTTCTAACTGACGACTCTTCTCAATAAAAATGATCACTGTTTTAATTCTTCTTATTGTTCATTATCTAAAAGGACGGCGAAGCTTCTCGTCCTCTCCCTTGAATCATTTCTTTATATCTTTCTTGTATATATACTCGATGTTTATCGAATAAAAAATAGTAACAGTATTCATTCATCCATCACATCTTATACTTAACTGTATTTATCTGATTTATACAAATAAATATCTACTATTTTTGTTTTTGCTTGAGCAACGTCATTAATTAACATGATTAGTAATATTATTGATGCAGAAAAATTAAATGACGATGTTGATGAGAAAACGACTGATGATGAAGATGAAACTGAAGTTCTGGTTACTGTCGAAAATTTACCATCGACATCAATGGTACAACAAAATAAAAGGAAGCGGAAGAAAGGCGTTTTCAATAAAGAATGGTTAAAAATCGCCAAATATCAACGATTTTTAAAAGAGTATAAATCGAACTCGTCTCAAGCAACATGTATAGTCTGCAATCTTCAATTTTCTGTTCATTATCGAGGCAAAACTGACATAGATAATCACATGAAGACTCAGAAACATCAAAGCAATATGAAGTCTTTTGATATGAATCAACAGTTAATAACAAATACAATGAAACCTTCCAGAGAAAAGGATGAAATTGCTGCAGCTGAAGGTACTCTAGTATATCATGGTGTGAAACATGGACATTCATATTTATCTCAACAATGCTTGACAAATGTGTGCAAAATAATATTTGCATCTTCAACAGTCGCAAATAGTTTATCATGTACTCGAACCAAATCAACATCCATTGCTGTAAACGTATTAGCGCCATGTTTTACTCAACATTTACTTGATGATTTGAAAAAGTTCTCATATTTTTCTTTATTATATGATGCTAGTAATAAAGGAAATGCAAAATTATTTCCATTTTGCGTTCAATTTTTGTCTGTTACAGGTATTAGGAAAGGTCTGTTTTCTTGTTGAATTTGTTCAACTTATAATTCATTGACATCTTTTTTTTTATCGTTTTAGGAATAATTGATGTAATTGATGATGCTGATGAATCAGCAATTAAAATTTTTGCGAATACACGTCAATTGCTTTTGGATAATGGTTTAGATATGCATGAATTAACAGCATTAGGAGCTGATAACACGAACGTCAATGTGGTTAATAATCATTCAGTTTATTCGTTATTTAAAGATGAAGTACCTGATATTCTGAAAGATACGGTAATTTTAGCTTATTAAGAAAGTCATGCATCTTTGTAATTCAATAAACCTTGCAAGTTTGGTCATCAGGAATTAATTATGCGTGATAAGAATTAATTTTTGAGTCCTTTCAAACTAATTAATCCTCAATAGCATATATTTTCTATTGTTTTTAGAAAAGATCGTTGTTTGTTTTTTAAAGTAAAAATATGTTTTATATTTTTTACTTCTAGGCAATTGTTACAGTCATATATTACACAATTCTGTTAAACATGCTCATCGTGTGTTGACAATTGATATTGAACAAATATTACTTTCTATATATTCTCATTTTTCACGTTCTGCAAAGCGAGTAAATGAATTAAAACAATATTATGAATTCTATGAACAAGATTTTAAAGTAAAAATGTTTTGTCACTTGGTCTTGCTTAAATACTAATCTAATTTACAATTCTTTCAATTTTTGTTNCTTTTCATAAGGAATTTATGGCATTATTAGCAAATTCCAATTTACCTGACTTTGGCTTTACTAAAGGAACTGACCACCATCCGAAGTCCAACTTATTACAAGGTTTTCTTTCATCAGTAGATAAACGTCAATTAAGCATTATGAAAGAAGATACAACTTTATCAGTTACAGATGAACGGTAAATATATCGTTCATTAGCCATACAAGAATTTAATGACATTGTTAAATATTCAAAAAAACATGATTCATTTTCTTTTTGGAATCTACACGGTCAAAAGCTTAAATTTTTATCAAGGTTGTTTCAAAAACATCTTATAGTGCCATGTACATCAGTTCCATCTGAATCTACATGTAGCGTAGCTTCGTATGTTGAACGAAAAGAAAGAAGTCTATTGACTCCTGAAAATCTTAGCACGTTGATTTTTCTAAAGGATAAAGTTATTGACAGCATTTAGTTTTTAAGATAAGCGCTTAATATGATTTTCAGAACTTCTTTGTATTTTTTTAAAATTATTTATAAGATGTATCTCTTATTTCTATGTAAGTTTTTTGTTATAACTATAGGAATTTTCTTACTTATTATTGTAATGTTCAAAAAATATGTATCATGTTAATCTTGTCTTATTACTTCTTACATACTGTGTGTACTTTTTTATAGCAGGTAATAAACTGTGAAATAAAATTTTTGTCTCTCTAGTGCAAATAATAATCTCTGAACTTTGTATTGCCTGCTCTTATATTCACAAAGATTGCATAGATAAGATTTGAGAGAACAATTTGCGTATTAGACTTGGTTGATAAACGTGCAGAAATCATTGAAAAATTAATTCTGATCACTAGTTCTATGCAAACATGTAACTTATCTAGACCAAGGAATTGCTGTGATAAATAAGCATTTTTCTTTGCGAATAGGTGCCGAAGCTCTACAAAACTTTCATTGTGAACCATTATGCTTACCTGTATCTAACTGTGTGTACAACTAGATAGATCAATTAGAACAACAATTGTCCAAGTCTGATTTCGCCTCAGGCAAAAAGTGCAAAAGTAATTATTTCGTCTGTGATTGAACCAAACTTAGACATTTTTTTCTTCAATCGATCTGTCTAGTCGTACACATATAAGATGAAAGTAAGCGGAATGATTCACAATAGAACTTTCGTAGAGTCTTGGTGCCTCTTCCCGGAGAAAAATGCTTAGTTCTGACAACTACTTTTTTTCATCACAGTACAAGTCTAGTTCTGTGTAAAAACAGGACTAATAAAAGCTTTCTAACGTCGGCACCAAGTTCCATAGGTTGAGACTAATCGATACTAAGACCGAGAGGCTTGATCTCGCTACATCCCTAGGGATGAGTTTTTCGACAAAAAAGAAGGTTGCAAAAATTAGCCAAGCACGGTCACCTCTACTGAGCTTGAAAGGGTGATTTAGAATATCATATTAGTTATTATATAAAGCGTATTTTTCTAATCAAAATCTATCAAATATCAGGCAAAATTATTAGATCATGCCTCGAGAGTAGGATCTTTGGTATTTTTTTTATGTAGCCAGTGTTTTTTCCTCGATGTTTTTTATCATTTTGATGAGCAAACAGCCAAGTTTAATGTGCATAGAACAGGTACTGACTTTTTCATTCAGCCTGATTAGCAAAAATGAGTGCTACATGACTAATGTTACCAGGGCTCACTATTGGACACATTGAGTAATAGTTTGACATAAAAGAAATTAAATTTCTTCAGGGGTCCTTTTCATCAACTATCGATCATTCTGCTTTTCGTATCTTGTGATGAATAACATACTGATTTTAGACAACTGGTTGGATCTTCTAGTGGAATAATTATTGATTTTCTGGTCTCAATTCAACCATATTCTTCTTTTGGCTCGTTCTTATGGTCTAAAACCAAACATTGTAAACTTCCAACAAAAATTTTCAGTCTTCTAATGAATAATCAAGACGATACATGCATTTTCATGAACATACTAAAAACGATATATTTTGAGTAATATTATCGTGAACTTTTAGGAAAGTTGCTGGCACTTTGCAGCTCACACTTTTTCACCAAAATATGCATCTTTTGATGCTCGACAAAACTATAAAATTTACCTTCGATTCTAGAAAACTAACTACATAGCCAAGGCATGTAAAACAGACCAATAAATGATCGATTTCATCTATTATAATTGATCTTTTCGATTTACGAAGTACGGGTGTGGGTGGATCGGTGCAGGTTTGAGGTGGGTAAGTGCTAAACAAAAACTTGCAAACACATCCTCAGCCACACCCACACCCACTCCCAATAATGGTCACTGGATTGCAAATTATTTTTATATATTTAGTCCAAATTCCGAACCTATTCTGAATTTATTGCACTCATAAGAGAGCAGATCTAGCATCCTTATAGATTAGAGATGATATGAGCTAGGAAAAATAACTGGTAAGCGGAGTGTCTCACAGAAAATTCCTACAATGGCCCCAATATCAATATCAAAATGTTTTTATTTTATTCATATTTCATGACGGAACAAAAAAGAACATTAATTAAAATGCAGTCTATAGATTATCGATTCGGTTACTTCGAAAGACCCGTAGTATTCTCATGCAATTCATAATTGTTCCATTTTTGTTTTCGTTACTAGTATCGGTTTGTATTTCATCGTCATTTTTACTTTTTTCTTCATCTTCATCTGTATGAAATGATCGATTGCGTGTTTCAGGTAGGAAATAGATTATACCCGTCAAAATAATCGTCAAAGAGGCATAAACATAAAATGTGATTTTTAATTTTTCATCGCTGACAGCAGCGTCAATGATAGGTGCTATAATAGCTCCGCATCGTCCCACAAACACAAAGACACCATTGGCTAAACCACGCATAGATGTTGAAAACATCTCTGGCACATAAACCCAGGTGATTGACACAGCACCGCTGATCGTCAATTTTCCTATCTGTGAAATAACAACAGTAAAGACAGGAAGCGGCTTTGTAATGAATGGAATTATGAATACACAGATCGATGTTAACAACAAATAGATCATCAACGAATACTTTCTTCCAAGTCGTGTAGTAATCAAAATACTAACGCTTATATATCCAATACTTTCGACGGCTGCACCAATGATGTTATTCCAATATGGGTTCACTGCATCGTTCATGGCACTAAGCCCGTAAGAAATTTTGATATACAAAAGCATGGTAACAAAACCAAGTAATCCGCAAATAATCAATCGAGGTATATGCATTAGAAACTTTTCCCTCGTTGTTCGTGCTGCGTGTTTAGCGTGTCGCATGGCAATGTCAGGATCATGAATCAACTGAATATAATATGGATGCCATTGATCATGTGTACGGCCATTCTTCGTAGCTATTGTGTTGAGACAATGTTCAAGTTGATTGTACTTTTGTGTACTAAATAACCAATACGGTGATTCAGGAACAAAGTAAAGATATGGTAAAACAAGAGCAAAATAACCACTAATAATCCATTTGAGAAGTAGCCAACCACGAGCCAGATAAGCAAACATTGTCACCAGAGCTTCACCAAAAGTGAAGCCAATCAAGGCAAGATTTCCGGCAAGACTTGTGTGCGAAGATGAAGTCAATTCCATGAGAAGAAGAAACACCATGGGATATGCATCAACGCTTGAAAAAAGCTGATTGACCAACAGAAGAGCAAACCTAGACAATTTCATTCGGTATTCGATCAAAAGTAATTAGAAGGGAAACTCTTCAATAATTTGTTTCATAGATGTAGCAACTCTATGTCAGAAAACAGTCCTGTTATTTCTATCCTGCTCCGATTCTGTGTTACCACATATGCTCTATGCACTGTCAACTTCTCTGTTATTGAGTGCTCCGTAAGGTGAGGATGCAACACTGATTCTTTCACATAAAACGTTTCTTTATACTGTTGATTGTTGACGAGCAAGCATCTCGAATCTGAATTCAAATAATCAATTTAGGTTTTTGAAAGTTTCGCTCAACTTGCTAATACATCGATCTTCACCTTTTCACGATGTTCCAATTTGACAACAGACACCATGCTTCCTGATGAAAGATCCAATAGTATTCTAGACTGTTTTCTGTAGGCGAACAAATTTCCACGCGGTCGTTCTCGGCTAATTTCTGCATCGAATTCGCATGATGATCTTTGCTTTATTAACAATTCAAAAGTCTTATTTCGACATTAGTCATTTAAGCTTGTTTTCCTAATGTTTTCAAGGATAGAGTTAAGTGTGGCAATGTGGCCATTATTATTTTATTTCATCCGCTGTTTCATGTTAGTCAACCAAATTGAAGCTTTTTTTCTAAAGCTTCAATCATTATCAAGAACTACAAGCATAGCTGGTATTCAAAGTCTACTAGCAGTACTCTCTGATATTACAGTAGAGAAATACAGCGTTCATTAGAGACTTTTCTCTTTCTTACTTGGCATCAACACTCATTGTGATTGTTTGCAGAAATATTTCAGTAAGTAAAGGAAGCACAAAAAGTACAACTGTCAGAATTTGGATCATTTTTCGTCGTCCAATCTTATCAGACATTGTTCCAGTCCCAAGAACTAGAAAACTGTTATTAAATTAGTATCATTCGAATATCAAAACCATTAAAATAAATGATTTTCTTACCCTCCAACTTGATATAAAGTTGATAGCCATGTCCGTTTCACCACTTGATTACAAACAAGATTGGCTTCTTCTGTAAATGTTCGTCCAAATACTCTTCGATCGTAGACAAAATCATTACACACTGATCCATTAAAATCCTTGCATTTCGATGTCTGCTGCCATGTATCCAGAAAATTTTGATGCGTTTGATTGATTGCTTGGTATTGATCCTCATGCGGCCATAACCATAATGGTAGTCGACATCGAAACGCCGGTTCGGCAACTCCAAATACGTAGTAAAAGGTCGTAATACCAGAGCCAATGGGTATCAAACAGAGAAAAGCGTAATTTAGAAATTGAAAACGACCAAAATCACCACAGCGTCGAAGCACATTTTCCAATGAGATCGCATTCGACATAAAAACGATCTATGAATAATCTTATTTTTTTGTCATATTCACCCTAATTTGAAGCGGGACAATCAAATGAAAAATCAATTATTCATCAAAATATTTCTCAAAGATAAGCAGTGGCATTATCACATTGCTAAGAAGTATATCAAGAAAAACAAAAGAAAAATGAATTAGCCCTGATGACGAAATAAGATGTGGACTAATAGAAGATCATATCCACATCCATACCCACACGCAATTTAGATTACGGTGTATCTAGCTACATCATCGGCGTCGATAGAACTTGCTCATCCAAAATTCGCACCTGAAAAGGTTAATTTCAATCGATAGATATCGATGTTTGATGATGTGGGTGTGCATGTTGATGTACACGATGATTAGTGCACTCTGAAAAAATAATTCAAGTTTTGCAGAACCTTTTTATTCAATTCTGCTATCAGGTATTACGCAGAACCCCCGAAATGATTCTGGCTGAAATCAGATTTTATGAATCCATCACGAAGCCATTTCTGAGCTTTCGTCTCAAGTGGTTTTGCCCTGTGTGAAAAGTGGGAGATTATTTAAATAATTTATCATTATAGCTTTCTCAATGGTAACATAAGGTTCTGTACTTGAAAGTGAGTTCAATGTTTCAGTACCGTCCTCTGTATCTTTAACCCTTATGATTATTCTCTTTTATCTACAATCTAATGTATACAAAATTTTTCTCACGTGTAGGTGTGGGTGGATTGGATGTTTGCTCTTCCCACACCCACACCCTCAACGTCGAAAAAGACTCACAAAAAATGGCGCTCTAACTATAAAAGTACTCTTTTATATAATAGTAGGAGAGCTTAAATCGAAAAAGGGACTTGGTCATGGCCTGCGTCTTGAAATGCTCTTTTAAAGAAAAAAAAGCTACTGGTTATAAGACGAGAAAGCACGAAAAAGGTTTTCGCTTTTTTTCACAAACAGCTTATTTTTCGAATAGGGGATGACGGAAATCTTAAAGAATTTTTGAAAAGGAAGACGTGCCGAGTAAATATTCTCGTAATTTATGTGAGATCAAATCACGGTCTATCTCTTCCTTTATTTATCTTAATTTCGATCCTTCTAACGAAAAATGACTTTTTATGGTGGGATATTAAGATATTATCCAAGCATCGTTTTGCAGTCATCGTATTGTTGCGATAGTCGTAAACAGCAATTTTTTTACGACTGCTGCTTAGAGGGTCGTAATTCATCGTAAAGAATCGTTTATGGTTACTGTAAATGGTCCCGACAGATGGTTGTCGTTTTTTGATTAATATAGAGTCGTATGTGACTAAAAAACGATTGAAGTCGGCAAGAATATATTTCTTTTTTTGTTGTTAAAAAAGTAGAGTAGAAGCTGCTCTTTTCTTGTGCTAATAATGATACATTATAGGTGAAGAAAGATTATGAAATATAGGTTAAAGCATTTTGAAATACGACGCATGTGTGACAGAATTAATGTGCTTTTAAAGTTGTTTATCAGATTTATTGCAAATAGGCTAACGAGGGAACACATAGAACTGATAAATCGCTATTTGAGTCTGAACTATATGCATCATGTAGATCCTACTGTGTTATGAATACCCTGAAAAGGATTCGGACCTTTAGCTTATTGTTGCCGAGATACTCCCATTTAACGGTATTTTTTAGCACAAAAGCCTTACTCTCAGCCCGGAACACCAGAAAAACTGACATACGAATTTCGATTTAAAACTTTCCACAGAGACAGGCTTCGATGAGAATAGTTTATTGTGAAAGTATCAAATCTTTTGATTGTCCGTAGTCTGAAATCAGAGCGCTGAAATCCGATGGCGTATATGAGCAATATCAAAGCATGCTTTACCATAGCTATATCTTAGCATAGAAGCAATTAAAAGATCTGATACTTTCACAATAAACTATTCTTATCGAAACCTGTTCCTGTGAAAATTTTAAAATCGAAATTCGTATGTCAGTTTTTCTGGTGTTCCGGACTGAGAGTAAGACTTTTCTGCTAAAATATACCGTAAAAATGCAGTATTTCGGCAACAACAAGCTAAAGGCCGAATCTTTTTCAGGGTATTCATAACTCACTACGACCTACATGATGCACATAGTTCCGACTCATGAGCGATTTTTTTTAGTCTTATTCTGAAAGAAATAACAGCTACACGATGTACATAAAGTAATATTGTTGAAAAATGAAAGAAGATTCATTCCATCTTGTCACTCTAAGCACATAAAAACATTCTTGATCTTTGAGAGAAATCGTTCAATTAGAGTAGAATAAAGTGTTTCTAACTAAAAGAAAGTTCTATTTTTCACTGAGACACCCTGAACAGTTCAGCAGAACTGGTAGAACCTTTTCTCGCTCAACATCTTTGGATAGAGGACTTTTTATAGTTCAATATTTTTTGACAGAACTTTACAAGGCTCAGTATTGTTGTGCGGAACTTCTTCAATTCGGCATTCTGACACACAGAACTTTTTATGAATTAGTATTATTCGGCAGAATCTTTTATGCTTCAGCATTGTTGCACAGAATCTTTCATAGTTCACCGTTCTAGGACAGAATCCTTTATGTTTCAGTACTTTCATACAGAACTTAAAAAGATTTCTCAGGAGTTGTAGAGCCATAAAACAGTTTTGTAGACCTCAGTTATTTTTTCAAAGCAAGCAACATCCACACTCGCATATACACCCAAGAATGAAGCTGAAGACAATAAAGATGACACATACTTATGTCAGAAGGTATTTCTTCTGAGATAACACTATCAAAATAATTACATAATTAAATGAACACTAGTAGATACAGAAATACAGGGTAAGATTCCATTTGTTCGAAGAATTGCACTACTTGCTTTTTCACACAGTTTTGGTAAATTATATACTATGTAAAATCGTGAAAAAAGCATCAAAATTTCGATAAATAATACTGTTTTCAAAAATAGACAACAAGGGCTATCCAAGTACAAAACAATTCAAAATTGTTTATTTTGACGAAAATCGTGATTTTTGACCGGAATTGCGCTTAAAATGACTATATTTTCTGCAAAAAAAAAACGATTTCAAACAGAAAAAGTTACTGTTGCCTAAACAACTCGATATGTTCTATAATCTGAACAGATATGAGTAAAATTCTTCACGAAAAGTTTGCTAGTGTGCAGAAGTGGTTTTCTATAAAACAAGCATATAAAGATCCAAATGAATTTTTTATAGTTATATTTGGAATCAGCATGATCGATAAATTACTATCCATTAGTATCGGTGAGAAAGCGATTAATGACTTGAAAACACTTCCTCGTTAGATTATTTGCCAATGTGGGTTTTTGTTAGTTCCAAATATAAATGAAACACAACAATAAAATAGCCATGTGTATTTTGTTTTCTTTTGGCAATTTCATTAAATAATATGTGACATATATTTGAAGTAATTATAACTAATTTGAAAAATTTTGTTGTTTTTCAAGCATCACAACAAGAAAATGATCAACTATGATATCAACTTTTAGATAGTTCTATAAGTATTTGATATCATGTTCTGGTGACTATATTCAAATAAAAACAAAACCGATAAATGATTCTCTTATTGATAAATAATAAATGCTCAATTAGCCTAGTGACCTGAAAAAGCAATGCTGCATTAAAACGATGCAACTGACATTAATTTTAATATATTTCAAATTCATAAATTAAAATGGCCATTTTCACCAATTCAAGCCCTTGAGTCACATCACTAGAAAAATGACTCGTTTTGTAAAAAAACATTTTTAGGGAGTAATATTTGAGTTCTTAATGACTTTCTTAGCTAATTAGTCAAAATTTTAGATTTATTCTCTGTATCGATTCCCAGTTTTTTGTCAGCAGTCACAATTAGAATTTTACACAGTACTTTTACGAAAGCTTTGAAACACAGTCTTTTACCATTATTTAAATGAACCGATTGATTCTGTTGTAACGATTGTCCACATTAATACTGTATGTATATTGCAAATCAGCTGACTCATAAAGACTCAGTAGAATTAATAAATAAAAAGATATCATAGAAATAGATGATGAAAAGAAAAGAATTTTTTTTATCGTTACTTTACCTGCAGAACTTAGACATTTGTATAGAGGACGGGAGATGATGGGTTTCGCATTGGATGGGACATTCAATAGTGTTATATTGAATTCGAAAAAAACTTTGTTGTTATTTTTTGACACGGTAATAGCAAACATTTCTCTGGTTAGATACCAACTCAATATTTTTCTGAGGAGTCGGTGCGCTGAAGAATAGTGCGTAACGCTTACCACATGTGGCTTCACGACCAATAGCAATGAACCTAATACAGACGTGACCGTGCCCTGCTTCTTTATGCTGATTAATTCGTATTCCTTTGATTTACTTTTTCAAAATAACTGTTCCTTGCCAATCGTACACTTTAAAATTGGTAGGAGAAGACTTTGTGTCGAAGAAACCGTCGATTCCGTCTCAGCTTTCGGTAGTAATTCAAAATGTTCCTTTCAATTGCGACAGGAAAGAATTTGTCAATGAATTACAATCTAAATATCCGGACATCATCAAAGTTGTCCAACTGAAAATTCGAAAACTACAAGATATGAAATCAATCAAAATACGCAATGAAATTCACGAAAATAAGTTCATCGGTATTGCCCATATGAGATACCCGGTCGTTGAATATTTGGCGTTGGCAAACGTTCTTATGTGCTCTTGATGCATGAGTATTGGTTATTTTCAAAACGGCTGCCCACGACAAAATGTAGCAACGTGCAAAGTATGTGAAGAGAAGTGCGCTGAGCTTAAGGGCCATTCTTGTTTAGGAATACTCAAATGTATTCATTGCGGTCAAGCTCATTGTTCAAACAACTGAAAATATCTTGTTGTTAAGGATTATCATACTGCTTTTACACGTAGTCTTCTCTCTGAAAATCCTATTCAACAACCAGGTAGTTCGTCTGTATGTAACTTTTCATCGCTCCAAGCTGGGCAGTCTGTTTTCAGTCAGTTTCATACACAAAATCTATTCGATATGCAAACACTTCTTAAGAAAATGGAACATGAAAGTGAGAAAACTCGTGCCTTCCTTGAATGCTTCAAAGCGGAACCGGTCGAATGTGTCTCAGAGAATAAACATCAAATCAATTTGTTGAATGAACAATTAGACGTTTGCAAACGCAAGATTCGAGAGGTAGAAGCTGTCGTCAAGTCATTAGAAGAAAAGCTTGAAATCAGAGGTCAAAAAATTCAATTTATTCAAAGCAAGGTGGAACCTACTGAGTCCAAATGTTATGATTATCGAAACAGCATTCATGGTCTTTTAAAAAATATCATGCAATTGTTCGTAATACTGCGTGACTCGAAAGTACTAGCTGTTTCAGATACGTACTGCTCCTAGTTTATGTAGGCCCTATCATGGGTAAAGGGTTAAATAAGTCGCAAATAATCAATGAAGTTTTGCTGATTATATTTGGTTATTTATCTTCATTTAATCTTTGTCAAATCTTTCTTGCTATGAAAAATGCTCGTATCGAACATCTTCTTACTTCTATACATCACTCGTTAGATGCTAGTTCAATGCGTTATGAACAATTGCATCAATTTCTCAGCAATACTAATAATGATACTACAAAGCGTGTTGCTGCTTTGATAGATACTGTTGTACTTCGTGATTAATCAGCTTGAATGATATTACTTAATCATTGAGAAAAAACTTTAAATGATACTAAACTAATCGACATGATATTACGATCAATAAAGCAGCTTTTTATATTGAATGCAGACTATCATGAATATCGACTGATTAAACCATTATTAATATCTTTAGTATTTCATAGTAATACATTACAACGTTTGTATCTCGTATTTGAGACACATACATGTTCATACTTGTCGACACTTTCAGAGCTCATTTATTATTGTATTTCAGTTCATACTATGATATTAGAAGTTGAAAATGGTGCATCATGAAAAAAAAGATTTCTGAATAAAAAATCAAAACGATTGACTGCGTTGGAGTTACAATAATATGATTTAGTTTTATAAGATGTTTTCAAGTAATTTTTATTGTATGAAACACGATTATTGTTTTAACAGATTTGAGATAATCTTTAGCCTTAGATTGTATTCGTGTGTTTATACATTTGAGATTTATAAAAAGTTTTTCGAAAACAAGGTCAGTTATGACATCTTTAATATGCAGCAAGTTAAAATCATATTTATATTTCTCTGATAAATACTAAATTATATATCTGTCGTAATTTAGAAATTGTCCTTTAGTTCTATGTCATTTCTTACTTTTAAAAGTCAATCATGTTGAATTTTAGAAGTGTACATCTGAAATATCATTGTTATATATCATAATGTGCATCAATATTGAATTTGTGAATTATGTCCAGAGTTGAGAAAGAAACTGAATTATGAAATCATTCGACTATTAATTTATTCAATTCTCTATAGTTTTAATTTTATTATGTCACTGTCTTACATTTGCATCATAAGAAGGATTTTGAGTTGTAAATATATATTATAAATATGTGTTCTAGTTCGAAACAAATTCATCTCAAACAGATAATATCATAATTCAATACTGAATCAACAAACGAGAGATGACTTGATGTCACAGTAAAACTTTTCCTATTATACTTTAATTGTTTCCAGTGAAACATTTAGTAAGAGTTCATGAGTATAATTGATCATTCTTGTTCATATGATAATTAATTTTGTTTATCAGATATTAGAACGAGTAGAATTTCTCTAATTCAGAAAGTCCAACTTAGTTGAAATAGCTTTTCTACTTTACTACTATTATCATAAATATTCGTCCATTTTATCTGTAGGCCACGAATGTTATCCAAGTGATGTAACGATAACAGATTTACACAAGATGACACCATTATGTTGGCCAAATACAGTTTGATTAATTTTAAGTATTCAACATCTATGTGATCTTATGCTTCTTTTCCAATGTGGTGCTTGGCTAGCACTTCGCCATATACCAATACAAAATATCCAACTTTGTGAACATCATCTACGCCAAGGAGATGATGGTACTCGGCTGCAATCGTTATTGTTACGATATATAACTCTCAACAATTTTATTATATTAAATAGCTCATGAACCATGCATTTACTTCAAAAATTGATACTTGTTGATTTGTATGATAATAGTAAGTTATCATAAAGTAAAATTGAATGCAAGATCACTTCATATTCTTCATCAATTGTCTTACATTTTCGACTATAATCATTAAATTTCATTCAATATAATAGAATAGATCATCA